GTCCTTGGGTCCTTCTCTCATCTCCACACGGCTTGCCTTGCAAACCCTGACAGTTTCACTTCTCATCCGAGAAGCTTCTTCAGTTCTAAGGTCAAATGGTGGAGAGTCCCAGATTTAAGCCCTGGAAGGGTGCCTTTATATATTAGACTCCGCTTCCTGTTTTTAAGTCTCTTTTGAAAACACATCTTCAATAGTGTTTGGACTAGTGTAGGTTTATATGCTCCTTTTATTGTATTTCATCTCATGTGAATGTGTAAGTGGTTTTCTTTTCTTTTGTCTTGTTTTGTTTTTGGACAGAATGTTTTTGGACACAACCAATAAACCCAGTTCTCTTAATGCAAACATCAGTAACTCAAAATTAGCAGCCAAAAGGTTGAGTCTGCAGCTCCACACTCTCATGTGAAACTGCAGTCTCCCTTCTGATCTCTCTTGTCCTCCTGCTCCTGCAAAAAACAAAACCAAACAAAGCATCCACCCTTTTCTTACCAGCGTGGTGAATTGTTTGTCAAAATTTACTGATCCTAACATTGGTCTGGTTTTTGTCTCAGTGTCAAGTCAGTCAACACTTTAATCCACATCGTCAGTCCAGTCACACATTCATTTACACACATTCAAACTAGATATTGCTGATAGTGGAGTGTCGCACGCAACCTATTCCAGTCTCCATCACCAGCAAGATCACGTCATCCTTTTAAAAGGAAAAACTATTCTTTATGATTTTGGGCTGGATTGACTCACTGCAATCCTTTTAGACAGGAACTCACACACTGATCGGGTCCCCACAGGCAGCCTTCTCCTCATCCCATTGTAATCTGGAAAAGCTCACCTTATATTTGCTGTCACGAAAATGTTTTACAGCGCTGTTAATTCAATCTTGCAGGCCTGCTTAGAACAAAAATTAGAAAAAAGAGAGTTGATTATTAAATCATCAAAACACAAAACATCATCACCATAAGGGCAACGCCTGACAGGTTTGTTCTAAGTGCACTGTTACAAAAATAATGGGCTAGTTCTAGACATGTCCATGTATAGAAAAACTCTCTGTTAAAAAGAAGAAGAAAGTGTGTACATTATTGTACTTTATTGAGCCCCGTGGGGAAATTGCTCTCTGCATTTAACCCATTCACTCAGTGAAGCAGTGGGCAGCCATTGGGCGCCCGGGGAGCAGTGTGTAGGGACGGTACCTTGCTCAGGGGTACCTCAGGGTAGCTGTTAAGGGGAATCGAACCCCCGACCTTCCGATCATGGGGCAACCACTCTACCTACTGAGCTATCCCTGCCCCCACTGAGCTAAACAACCCAAACCTAACTGGCAGAATCAACCTATCACTAAACAAAACCCCCAAAAATCTGCCAGATTAATCACAGAAAAGTTTTGGTTCCTAGTATAATAATATGTTATGGGGACTAGAACTTCAGGTCCCATAAAAGTTGCTACACTACTCCTGGCTTAACTGATACCTACATGGTCTGAAATCAGACTTAAAATCACTACTTCTGTTCATTTCCCCACATCATATTTAGTGGTTGCCCTGAAGTGCTCCAGCGTCCTGGAGAGTCTGGGGTCCACTGACATAGTTCCACCTGCTAAATACACAGAGAATTTTGTTAGCAGCCGCACAGTTCCCACAACACTAATATTCCCATTAACCACTTCCTAAACACTTTATGACAATGTATCATCACTAGATTATAAATTTCTTCTCCAGGTCTGCACTACTGCACACATTTTAGTCACAGACTTTATTTAATTATCCTGTACCATGCTATCATATATTTTACCAAGCAATTCTTCTCACACAGTCCTCTGACTGAGTGAAGTTTGCACTGAGAGAAACATGTCAGTGCAAACTTCACTCATACATTCAAACAGGAAACTCAAGTTTTTTCCTTTTTTTTCTGTCTCATCCAACCCTCTCTTTTAATCTATTCACTTGTGAAACCAAATCATCTTTCCCTAATCTAAGAACACTCAACTAATTTGCATATATTGAGTCATAACTCAACAAGTTGCCATGACAACAGAAATGCATATTCAAAACATTACCACAAAATAAAATTTTTCTTCCTACAGTAATCACTCATTTTGCTCAAACAGCACAAGACCTCTTCCAATTTACTATTTTAAAATTAAAAAATTAAATTTATTATCTGATCACCGGTTGGTAAGCCCATCTCTTTTCCTTTTCACAAAAGCCCCTGTTGTCCTGCAACTTCTTGAGTTATTCCTCAGTAATGGATAACCTCAGCATCTGATAGCAAGTATCTGTTAAATCTACACCATTTAGTATTTATGTGATATATTAGAATTCATGAGTGTAAGCTGGTCTGGGTTTGTATTCAGATTAATTCATGCATATTTGTGCTGAGCTGTGGATTCAAACTGTCTCCCCCAGCTCCTGATCCTCTCCAAAAACAATTTCACATGTTTCTGTTTGTGTATGTATGTTTTCTATTCATTTATATAATTATTGGTTTATTTCTTTCTTCATTTCTTTCTTTATTTTATTTACCTTTCTGTTGCGATGCTCTGGACACTTTCTCATCCTCCACAAGTCAGTCAGCCTCAATTTTCAACCCAATTTTCATATGCTCTCACTTTAACAACACCAGCCTTCCTCTCTCACCTGTCCTCGTCTCCTCTTCTCACAGTTGTTTCATGCCCCAACATCTTCAGCCATAAGAGACACAATGAGCTGTTTCTTCTTCTCTGTTCATTCTCTCTTCCTCTTTTCAGTCTCTTATTTTGCCGCTTAACTCCCAGCATGGCGAATGTGGGATCTCAGACAGTCCCATCAGGTCCATTCACACAAACATGTCACTGGTAAACTCGATTAAGAATGCATGCTTCCCTTCACCCTGGTATTTGTACATGCTTCTTGACCCTGCTCAGTGCTCTGGCTCCGCCCCTTCTACCAAGGGCACGTCCAGGTGTGCTTGTATCTGTGAGGACTGGACGCTGTCAGATATCCCAGAATGCATTTCAAACTGAGGTAAAGCAGTGATGGACGAGAGAGCGCGAAACTGTAAGTCCAGGTTTGAAATGTTCATTTTTCTGTGGAACAAAAATAAAACTTTAGCATGTTTTTAGGTTTCATGTCACCACAGCCACGAGCCGCTACCCACAAACCAGGAAACGAACACTGCGCATGTTTCATTAAAAACAACAAAAAACAATCATTTGTTTGCTTGCTGACAGCAGACTGCTCGTTTTGTTTTATTAAAATGAGTTTCCGGTGTAACGATGCTCGTCCCCTGACTGCCTGTTCAGCATCACGGCAACGGGAATAAAGTTGTTGGGAGATGCTCTTGTTGCCCTCATTGTTCTGCAGTGATCAGCGAGGATAGTCATCCTACAACCAAAGCAGACACCGGATATTAAATCCACTCAGTGTCTCTACCGCTGACAGAGTGAATCAATTATTTTCAGTTTACTAAACACACATCCAAGATTATTTCAGGAGTGTAAACTGGCTGTTTAGTTGTTCTTCAGTTAAGCTTGAAGCTCTTTTATCATAAACACTGCAGCAGCTGTTTGCTGTTGTGTCATACTCCCAAGAAAACAGACGGATTTTAAAGATGAAATATTCAGTGTTCATTTCCTCTTTAAAAAAAAACAAAAACAAAAACAAATGAAGGCACGTCTGTTTCAGCCTCACCAGGCAATCGAACAGCAGTTAATCTGGAATCAGCCAGAAGTTGATCTTCTTGAGCTTGAAGAAAACAAAGAACAGAACTTTAATCTTCCTGTTAATCAGACCGGCTAACGTGACGTATTTATTCAGCAGTTTTAGAGGGAACAGGCCTCGTGTGGCCATCAGATTCTGACCCTCTGAAGATGGAGGACGGTGAATAAAAACTGTCTGTGATTCATAAACAGTTGATGCAGAAATGCCTGTGTCAGGCTCAGGAGAGACTCGGAGGCAGACCGTCACTTAAGTTCACAATTTATTTACACACAGACACCAGGTGTGGATATATACAGGTGAGGGGGCACAGGAAGAGGGTCTCCGGGGAACACAGGCACGGGAAGGGGACGGGCTATGTACACAATCCTTCACTGAAGCTCAGGTAGCTCGGACTCCGGCTTTTAGCTCACCAAACGGCGGTCCTCAGGCTGGCGAGAAATCTGGCACAGGGAGGAAGAACAGGTAAGTTGCGGCACGAAAGAAACTCGGGAAAAAGCTCAGATTTGCAATGACACTGACGAGTGTTACACAATAATCCAGCGAAGAAGCACTCTCAGCAGCCGCCTTAAGAAGTGAATGAGATGAGACGATTGTTGGCAGGTGTCCGAGCCAGGGGCTGGAGCCGTCATGACTCCGCCCCAGTAGAGCGCAGTGCGCGGGAGGGGAGAGAGAGAGAGACGCAGCACAACAAAAACACTTGTAGCCATACAGAGTCAGCCGAGAAGGTACAGGGTCATGACAGTCTGAAATTAAAGCTGAAAGTCTGATTTTTAATCTCATGTCAGTTATTTGATTTAAACCTGTGTATCTTTGTATTTTTCCAGAAATTATGGAGCTGAGTACTTGTGGTATTTACACCCCAACCACATCCTCAACTTTCAACCACATTGGGCGGAGCAAAGCAAATAATGTTTTCATCAAAAAATAGGTTTTAGGCCGTTAACACCTCTGTCAACATAAATTAAAAAATTCAGAAAATATGGGACAACAGTGAAAATGAAAAAAAGTCTGATGTCTGTCCCTCCCACATAAAGAAATTCATTGTGATCTCAGTTTTAACATCACATAAGCGTTTTAACAGCGATGTCTACACTTTTTCTATCCACTGTAAATCCTTTTGGGTTGCATCAGGAAGGACAGCTGATGAAAAACCTGCTAAATCAAATGTGGGGAGCTCACCGCTGTGGCGGCCTTTTCTGAATAAAGAAAGTGACCGAAAGTAGCTAAGATGAAAATAAAGAATTCAAAGTAAATTGTAAAATCTTACAATTTACTTTGATATATGCCATTTTTACACTTTTTTCCTCAAGGATGAGCATGGAGTCACGTCCAGGAGAAACTGCTGGAGTTAAAGCAGACCTGGAAAACACTGACTTTGGTGCAGCTGCTGTAACAATTCAAAGAAGATTAAAGCAAAGGAACACGCCGCTAAATGTTGCCATCACAGGAGAGTCGGGTTCTGGGAAATCAACTTTTATTAATGCTTTCAGAGGCATTGGTGATGAAGATGAGGGTGCTGCACCCACTGGTGTTGTGGAAACCACCTCACAGGTTACACCGTACCCCCATCCAAAGTATCCCAGTGTTATCTTGTGGGATCTCCCTGGAATCGGTACTACCAGATTTCCAGCTGATGAGTACCTGAAGCTTGTTGGATTTGAGAAGTTTGACTTCTTCATCATCATCTCAGACTCTCGCTTCAGAGAAAATGATGTAAAACTCGCTCAAGAGATTCAGAGGATGAAGAAAAAGTTCTACTTTGTTCGGTCAAAGGTTGACAAAGATATACGAGCTGAGAAAAAAACCCGGAGAGAGTTCAACATGGAGAGGACACTTTCAACCATCAGGAAGAACTGCACCCAAGGTGAGCTTCTTCTTTTCTTTGATTAGAGTTAATATATTTGTTTCACTCTAAACATCATTTCCATATAATAATAATAATAATAATAATAAATTTTTTTATTTGAAAGCGCTTTTCAACACACCCAAGGACACTTGCCACAAAACACATAATAGAACAATAACAACGAAGAAAAATAAGAAAACAAAAGCACAATATAACAGAAACAAACAATAGGTTCACAGTGAATATGCAGATTTGAACAGATGGTTTTGAGTTGAGCTTTAAACTGGGGGAGAGAATCAGTGTTTCTTATATTTGGGGGTAGAGAGCTCCACAGCCTGGGAGCAGAGCAGCTGAAAGCTCTGCTTCCCATGGTGCTGAGGCAGAAAGATGGCACAGCAAGCTGGATAGAAGAAGAAGCTCGAAGTGAGCGGGTGGTGCTTACTGATGTGAGATTTCTTATATCTACTCTCTAGCCTTCGAGCTTTGGCCTTCAAAATGGTAAATGGCCTGCATTTGTATAGCGCTTTTCTAGTCCCTAAGGACCCCAAAGCGCTTCACACTACATTCAGTCATTCACCCATTCACACACTGGTGATGGAAAGCTACATTGTAGCCACAGCTGCCCTGGGGCGCACTGACAGAGGCGAGGCTGCCGGACACAGGCGCCACCGGGCCCTCTGACCACCACCAGTAGGCAAACACGGGGTTAGTATCTTGCCCAAGGATATTTGGCATGCAGCCAGGAGGCAGCCTGGGATCGAACCACCGACTTTCTGATTAGTGGCTGACCTGCTCTGCCACCTGAGCCACAGCCACCCTCAATGCTCGGAGGTCAGAGGTAAACCAGAGCAGCAGAGCAAGCGAAGAAAACAGAGTTTTTACAGGAGACATTGAGTAAACAATAATTATAATACAACAACAGATCATCAGAGGTAGAATAGAGGTCTGGAATCTGAATATTGTCCAATCTGGTAGTGAGAATGTCCATATCAATGGACATTTACAATTTAGTTATATGTATCAGGTGTAGTGATGCAGCGTGAAGCATCACAGCAATAATCACATAATAACTCGCTGTATGAGTAGATTGCTCTTAACATGGAGCTAACTAAATACAACAATATATAAGCACATATTTCACATGCTGTATGGTTCATTTCTCCCATGTAGACAGTTTAATTACTATAAAAGGAAGATGTAGATGAATAAATCTAATCCTCCCCCTAACATTGACCATGAACACCACCGCTGCTCTGCACCAGTCCACAAAAGTGCATCACAGTAAACGTCACCACAGTTCTGCATACTAATCGCTAAACTGTATTTTCATGCAACCTTTGAGTAACACAGAAATTTTATATTTCAGTTAGTTTTGTGAGATGTTTCACGAAAAAAGAAATTCAGCAACACATCATGTAAAACTGCAGTATCTGATTTACTGGTGACCCTGCAGCCTCTGAGTAGATGCACCTATGGAATAAATATGAAAGTCCCAGCTGACTTCCTTCTTGTGTTATCATCTTTACAAGACTTTTAGAAAGGTTGACCTCTTACCTTCAACTTGAGGTTAAGGTCACTGAGATTTGTACTCGTCTGAGGGTTTTACTAGATGCGTCTATGGTGTCCATCTGAAAATCCAATGTCACGTTGTTCTCATCGAGATGACGACAATCCGCTATCAGCCTTTCACAGCTGAGAGGTGAAAGGATGTGTTGGTGTAAGCAGGCCGTGGCATCAATTACTGAGACAGTTTCTCCGAACATTACCAGAAGTTACACCAGGATGCAGCACACAAAGAAGTCCACAGTCAGATGTGTTAGTCTGCATTTCTCATTTAATCTTCACACCGTGTGTTTCTTCTGTTACGCAGGACTCAGAGATTTAGGCATCAAGTCTCCGCAGGTCTTCCTGGTGTCCACCTTTGAGCTCCACCTGTATGACTTCCCTCTGTTACAGCAGACCTTAGAGAGAGACCTTCCTGAACACCAGAGAGATGTTCTGCTGTTTGGTATATGCAACATCATCAAGAAGAAGAAAGAAGTTTTTCAGGCTGAAATAACACTCTATGCTACTCTGTCTGCAGCTGTACGTACAGCTCCTCTGGGGATTTCTTCTGTTTTTGACAGCACCTTAAAGGCTGCTGTCACAGGTTATGTAGCTGGGTTTGGTCTTGACAGCCCATCGCTGAAGAGACTTGCTGCCATCACAGGTGTCTCCTACACTGATCTGTGCGCTGTCATCAATTCACCGCTGGCCACAAACACCATAACTACAGATCTTATCCTGGATGAGTTGACGACACTTCCAAGCACAGCTAAAATAATGAGAGCAGATAACGTGTGCAGGTTCATTCCACTGTTTGGATCCCTGCTGACAGCTGGTTTCTCTTTCACTATAAGCAGTCGAGCTCTGCAGTTTTTCCTCAGTGAGCTCGCTGATGATGCTGAGAGGGTGTTTAGAAGGGCTTTGAATTTGACCTCCTCAGTGTGGTATTGTTAAAAACTAGCATTTCTCACAAATTTCACTATTTTTAGACGAGCTGTAAATTTGAGGAAAACCAGTGTTTCTCTGAGCTGTGGGTTGTTTGGTGTTCCATATCACTCTATATAGAATTCAACTTTATTGTCATTGCACATGTCACAGGTACAGGGCAACGAAATGCAGTTTGCATCCATCCAGAAGTGCTTTAGCCATGATATAGATATATTACAATATATATTAGCAATAATATAGATATCTAAGTATATTACAGAAATGGGTCTATTAAGGTATGTTATGAATATTCTATAACTATAAGTATGTACAGGCTGTAGTGAGTACAGGCTATGAACAGGATATAAATATGAAAAACTATACAGAATCTGAGATATACAGCTATACAGAAATGTGAACTAAGCAAGTTATAAGCAGTTGTAGGATTAAAAATTATCGTATGTACAGAATGATTATTTACACAGAACTATACAGTAGTGCAGTTAAGATAAGTGAGGGTGTGGATAATTTCTACAGAGGCTATATAAAGTGCTAGTGGTTGTGAGTGGTGGTTCAGTCCATGTTATTATTGTGTGTTTGAGGGTACAGTTGTCCATTGTGTGTGTGTTGTTGTGGGTGTGTGTATGTTCAGTCCATGAGTTAATGTGGGTCAGATGTCAGGAGGCAGAGTTCAGGAGTCTGATAGCTGTGGGGAAGAAGCTGTTCCAGTACCTGGTGGTCTTAGTCCGGAGGCTCCTGTGGCGCCTCCCAGAGGGCAGGAGGGTGAAGAGTCCATGTGATGGGTGACTGGGGTCTTTGATGATTTTCCCAGCCCTTTTCAGACACCGCTTCCTGTAGATGTCTTTTATGGCAGGAAGTGTTGCTCCGGCGATGCGGTAGGCAGTTTTCACGACCCTCTGCAACGCCTTCCGGTCCGTGGCAGAGCAGTTCCCGTACCAGACTGTTATACAGTTGGTCAGGATGCTCTCGATGGTGCAGCGATAGAAGTTCACCAGGATGTCTGAGGACAGGTGGTTCTTCCTCAGAGTCCTCAAGAAGAAGAGGCGCTGGTGAGCCTTCTTGACCAGCTTGGAGCAGTTGGTCGTCCAGGTGAGATCCTCGGAGATGTGGACTCCCAGGAACTTGAAGCTGCTCACACGCTCCACAGCCGTCCCCTTAATGTGGATGGGTGGATGTGGGTCAGCATTCCTCCTGTAGTCCACGATGAGCTCCTTGGTCTTCTCGGTGTTAAGCAGCAGGTTGTTTCTGTCGCACCACTCAGCCAGACGATCCACCTCCTCCCTGTAGGGTGTCATCTGCAAACTTAATGATGGTGTTGGAACCATCAGCAGGTCTGCAGTCGTGGGTGAAGAGGGAGTAGAGGAAAGGGCTCATCACACAGCCTTGTGGTACACCGGTGTTCATCGTGATTGTAGATGAGCAGCGGTTATCCAGCCGGACATGTTGGGGGCGGTTGGTCAGGAAGTCCAGTAACCATTTGCAGATGAGGGAACTGATGCCCAGGTCTGTCAGTTTCCTGATGAGTTGTGAGGGGAGGATTGTATTGAATGCTGAACTGAAGTCTATAAACAGCATTCTGGCGTAGGTGTTGTTGTTGTCCAGGTGTGAGAGGACAGAGTGCAGTGCGATGGAGACTGCATCCTCTGTGCTCCTGTTCTGGCGGTATGCGAATTGGTGGGGGTCCAGGGTGGGGGGGAGACAGGATTTGAAGTGTGCTAGGACCAGCTGCTCTAAGCACTTAGTGATGATGGGGGTGAGTGCTACTGGGCAGTAGTCATTCAGGCTAGATGGGTTGGAGTTTTTGGGTATCGGGACGATGGAGGTGGAGTTGAAGCAGGCCGGTACCACAGCGTGGGCCAAGGACAGGTTGAATATGTCTGTCAGCACTCCTGCAAGCTCCCCAGAACACGCTCTGAGAACACGCCCGGGGATGCCATCAGGACCTGCAGCCTTGTGGCCATTGATCCTGCTCAGCACCGCTCCTACATCGGTGGGGGAGAGAGTCAGAGGTTGGTGGTCTGGCGTCATGTCTGCTTTGGTTGTGGTTGTGGTGTTCCCTCGCTCAAAACGAGCATAAAAGTTGTTGAGCTCGTTGAGGAAGGAGACATCAGAGGATGCGGGGGAGGGTTCTGGAAATATCTGGAAAAGTGCAGCAGTTTCCACTCTCATCCAGGAGTGGACAGCTCACATATAACATCCTGAATTATCAGTCGAACCAATAGGAGGGAACTTAGAAACAATAATTTTGAAACGAGGAACTAAACCCACGAATAAAAACTTCAGCAGCACCGAATAATGTAAAAGAACCAAAACTCAAATATTGCATCAAGAGCTAAACGCTCATCGTCCTCCAGTGATAATAAAACAAAATGAGGAAGTTAAAACTCAAACAAACAAACATCAAAAATCTAAATGCAAATATTCCATTATACCTCACTGAGTTTCCTGCCTTTAGGCTGAACACCAAAGGACATGAACTCTCTTTTATAGCGGTGCTTTTAAATGTTTTTATGAATGAACTGCTTATTTTAGGGTTCTTGTTTGTAATGATTGTGATTGTTTATTGCCTTTGACTCATTTCAGGAATTAATGTAAACACTTTTCATTTAATAACTAAACTTCAGACCTACAAGAAGAAATAAATTTGTGGTACATTGTCAACTCAAACCTTTTCCTGTCTACTTTCTGGTTCTGCTTTCAGCTCCTGAACTCAGAGCTCTGATACACTATGACATTTTTCTCTTCGTCATCGCAGTTTATCATTAACAGGGTTTTTCTTTTTCCATCATCCACCGTGAAATGCTGATATATGCGAGCCGCTGCTGAGAGGTTTTTCTTTCCTGATCAGTGGTTTAAAGATGCTCGTCCTCCCCTCAGACTCTCTGATGTTCAGCTTTCTTCCTGACATGATGTTTGCTGGTTAAAGTCTGTCTGTGGGTGAACAAAGACTTGTGTTGACTTTGTGGGGATGTATTCACTTTTGGTCTGACTCAGTGGTTTGCATATAACTTTTTCCTTATGTACAAACAAGCTGACATGATAGACGTCCCAAGTTTGATGGTTATTTGGCTGATTTTGGAGAGTAAAGATGAAAATAAGCAGTTTGTTAGATGCGTGTTTATAATGGGACTTTCTATTTGTTTGAGATCAGATTAGAAAACATGAAACATGAGGAAGCTTCAGTTTTCCTGTAAAGGATTCCTCTCTTATTGGCTTTATTTAGTGAGTTATATTTTGTGTGTGTTCACAGAATCACAACTGAATGTTAGATTAAGAACTGCAGTCAGACCCAAACCTGCCAGACAATCAGCTGATCTTCCTCAACGATCAGCACACCTGCTTCCACTTCCTGATCGGCCTCTCAGGTTTTATATCACTGCTCCATCATCATCCACCTTTTACCAGAGTGTCTGTAAAATACTTTCCCGCCATTTCTGTGCTTTTCTAACAGATGAATAATTGGACAGTTGTTATGAATGCGCCATATAAATAAAATTTAATTTAAACTTATTCAGTGAAATATGTTGTTGAATTAAAAACAAATCAAACACACTTACACTAATGCTAATATGTTTATAAAAAGCATTTTATTATTAACATGGCTGATGGTTACAAACAGTTTATATTGTGTTGTAGTTCCTGATTCTGACCACTGGAGGGCAGTGAACACAAACTGTTTTATCATTTTACTAAATCAAAAATAAAATACAAGTTCAGATAAATTTAGATGAATAAGCAGCAGCCGTCATATCAGCTGATTACACACACAATGTGAAAAAGCATCACAGCAATGATTCAGCAGCTCCTCTACATTATAAACAGGTTTTATCTGTAAAACAGGATCAAATTTATTCTGATCACTGTGAAAGATAAATGTGCAGCTACACCATGACTGTAACTCAGTACATATATATTGTTTTGCCTTTTTTAAATATTGCAATGAGAGCGAGAGTGTGGAGCAGACACACAGCAGGGTCAGAGGTCAAATCCAGGACTCTGCATTTAGCCACACATGAGGTCACCTGTTGAACCTGTGAGCTAAACTGGTGCCTGGATTCAGTCGTTTAGGAGAATTTACACACAGCACACAGTCACTAAGCTTCATTTAACTTTCACTGACCCAGAGCTTTTTCAAACACACTCTGAGCATCTTCAGCGAGCTCACTGAGGATAACATTCAGAACTTTATACGTTGTGATGAAAGAGAAACCCATTGCTAATGGGATTCCAATCAATGGAATAAATCTGGATGCTTCCTCTGCTGCAATTAATGTAGCTGTGCGTCCCACTTGGGTCACAACCTTCATGAGGAGCTTTTTAGTTATTTTTGCTGCAGCCAGTGGTGAAATGATGACGGCCTGCAGATCAACGTATGACACACCTGTTCTGTCAGAAAGTCTCTTCAGAGACGGGACATCGAGACCAAACGCAAAAACATAATCTGTGACGACACCAGCCAGCACAGCAGCATCAACAGCAATAGAAAGTCCAGGAACTGGAACAGCTGCTCCAAGTGCAGACAGAGTGGCCAACCAATATAATCGGCGCTTGAGAGTTTTTTTCTTCTTGCTGATTATCTCTGGGTTTATGTTGGGCATGACGAACAGCAGAGCATCTCTCTTCTTTGAAGGAAGGTCTCTGTCTAAGGTCTGATGTAAGAGATTGAAGTCGTACAGGTGGAGCTCAAAGCTGGACACCAGGAACACCTGCGGAGACTCGAAGCCTAATCCTCCGAGTCCTGTTTCACAGAAGGAACATGTTAACATGATTACACACATAAAAACAAATAATGTAAAGTTAAGACCCAAATATTAAAGTGAATCCATAAAGTGCTCCCACTGAGCTGTAAGTGATCAGACACTCACTCTGAACGCAGTCGTCTCTGATTACTTTGAGAGTCCTCTCTGCACTGAAGTCTCTCTTTCTTCTCTCAGCATTTATATTGTTGTCAACCTTTGAGTGAACAAAGTAGAACTTTTTCTTCATCTTCTGTATCTCCTGAGCCAGTTTCACGTCATTTTCCGTGAAGCGAGTGGCTGAGATGATGATGAAGAAGTCAAACTTCTCAAATCCAACAAGCTTCAGGTACTTCGTAGCTTTAAACTTGGTGGTGCCGATTCCAGGAAGATCGCACAACATTACATTGGGATAGTTTGGATGGGGGTACGGTGTGACCTCTGAGGTGGTTTCTGTAACACCAGTAGGAGCAGCTCCCTCCTCATCATCACATAGTCCCCTGAAGGCATTAACAAAGGTGGATTTCCCTGAGCCAGACTCTCCTGTGATGGCGATATTTAGTGGGATATTATTTTGTTGTTTTAAATTTTCTTGAATCTTTGCAGCTGCTGCAGCAGTGTCGTTGTTCTGCAGGGCTTCTTTAACTCCAGGAATGTCTTCCATATATAAGTCATCTGGGTCCTCCATGCTGATCCTTAAAAAAAGGAGAAAAAATGTGGAAAATTTGACTTTTTTCTTGAACTGCAGAATTTGTACTTAGCTACTTTAATTTGACATTTAAATTTAGTCATTCGTTATGATCGGATTAAACCAAAACCCGAAGTTCAATCTTTAAAGTTGATTTTCAGGTGGGATCCCAATTTTTGGAATATGTCTATTTTAAGTTTTGGGAGGCCACTGGAATAAAAAATAAAACTAGTTTAACATGTTGCTCCATGAGAAGCTGTGAGTGTATCATCAGTCATGTAGTGACTGTTCTTGTTTAAATGTGAGGCTTTTAGACATGAAACAGACCATAAACATGGATGTTAGAAGAAAACTAGTAAAGAACATGAATAAGACTGAAGGCGGGTCAGTGCTGATTCATATTAGCTCATAAAGCACAGTTACTGAGACGTCTGTAGATTATTCAGTATTTATTTCAGTGCGCTGTGCAATTTTTTTAATCCCATTTAAAGATCGCTCCAACGTAAATTAATGAACAAATCAGTTATTTCTTATTTCCACATTTTCTCCCATGATGCTCCTTTTATGGCCGATCATCTAACAAAGTGCTTAAAATTATAGTTTTGACCTTTGTTAAAAAGAAGAAGAAGAAGAAGTGTATATGTGGCTAATGAAGCGCATCGTGCACAGTTTCCATTGTAAATATTAACCACAGTGAAACGAGTAACGGCAATAAAAACACGTGCAGCTGAGCTGTGATGTCATCAAGTACACTGCAGCTCCAGCTGTGTGTCCTGGAAAGCCTGGACTCCCGAGTCAAACTGCGAAGTACGAACCAGGAAGTTCTAACTGAGCAAAGCTGTCTGATACTGAGGAACACTTCTTACGTGTCTGAGTCTTTAGAAAGAAGAGATCAATGAGAATATGGCAACAAAAACTAGCTGTGACACTTTTTAATTTCATTAACCGGTTATTTAAACGAACCTGCAGGTGTGCCTTCAGTCATTTTAGAATTTTAGAAAGTTTATGGTAACCTGCAATCATCTAAAAAAAAAATCTAAAAGTATTTATTCTCTTAGTTGGAGAGACTGAGACTATTAAAATCAGATTGTGTGTGTGCGTGTGCGTGTGTGTAAAGCTTCCGTATTCGTAGCTTAATTACAACCACAAACCCACAGATGTCCTGAAAGTGGTGTGTACGTGCTTTCTCTGTGACAGCAGAATGAAATCTGCTGCATTAATGACACAGAAACACGAGAACGACCCTCTAAACCAATCAAGAGCAGGGACACTTGACAGCAGCAAGAAGTTTGCAGAAAGTGTGATCACATGATGGAGGTTTACCTGCGTGCTGTTGGAGTGATGATAAGAGCTGTACCCAGCAGTGAGTCTGATGATGGATGGATCTGGTGGAAGTCAGTGTGCGTACTGGTCTCTGAACTCTGAACCTCCACCTATATGTGTGTCCTGTAGCTCCGCCCCCTGAAAACAGCAAAGCATGTCTGATCTTGGGTCCTTTCTGTAGCTGTGAGTGGTTAAGAAATGATCACCGCTCCAAAGACGAGCGTGCACAGGGCACTGTAAGCAGGATTCTGCAGAGACTTGAAACTTAAGTTAATAGTGAGATTTGAATTTATTCCTGGAGCCTGTGAACTGCCAGCTTTTTGTAACTGTGTTATTCATGTTCTTCATGAATTCAGTTTTAGCTCTTGTGGAGCAGGGAAATTATTTTACTGCTATTGTTAAATAATTGTCATTATTACCATTGCATTAATAATATAATCTGGAGTTTATATTGCATTCAGATGTTGAAACAGTGTGCGTCTTTCAGAAAGACTAAGTTGCAGGCTGACAGGAAGTTGCAGGTTTGCAGAGTGTGCCTTTTGCAGAACTGAAACCGAAAGCAGACGAGACACAGACAGTAGGTGAAGAGGTGACACAAAGAGCATGTGAGGTCAACACATACACACACATTAGTTAGATTTATTTAGAGGAGAGAACGGAAAGTACCAAGCCATGAAAATAGAAGATGATTTTCTGGGTGAAAAGTCATGATGATGTTGATCTGATCTATGTATAAAATGTATCTGTGACGCATGAAGGGGCGTCAGTAAATCAAACCCTGATGCTATAAAATATCTGTTCATGCTTTGATTAAGTCGAGGACTACTGGCTGTCTGCGTACAGAGTGTCTTCCCACGCGTGTATTCATTAAAATCATCGTTTGACTTCACCCGGCCGGATTGGTGTGGTTATTCTTCGATCACCTCTTGTACCCTTCCTCAATATTGAATCTTAACATTTGGGGGCTTCGTCCGGTTATTGAGGAGGGAGAGTTGGAGGTTTAGACGGAGAAATCCGGGGTCTTAGGTGGTCTGACGGGCAGACATGAATTCCAGTGGTCTAAGTGAGTGGGCATAAGCCGGCTTATCCAAAAGGTAAGGCACTACCTGTTGAATTATTTCCAAAGTGTGCCAAATTGGAAATGATAAAATTTAAGTCTACTCACTGAAGTTACTGGTGGATGTCTGTTTTGATTTTGATGAGAATGTCATGACAGTACTGAGGATTTAAAGCAGTTGGACTGCTGGAAAGGATTTAATGCGGTTGGACCGCTAAAAGGAAAAGCAGTTGGACTGCTCAATGTTTTTAGTATGTTAGGGAATTTGGTTATTTTTTGGTTATAAGGTTGGACCTGCTTCAGTCTTACACTTGGTTGGGTGTTTTACTGTTGTTCCAAAGTATTATAAATTACTCAAGAACGCCAGTTGGACTGGTAGGAAGCGCAGTGCTCAGAGGTAACGCTTGCCAATGTCAAGGACGCTTAGACATTGTCCTCGAAGAGGGATAGTCAGTTGGTCACTGTGGAGCTTGGGGCACTCCAGAATAACTAGGAGTTAGTCTCCTTACCGTTTGGAACGGTATCTGCGCTTTTTTGGGCAGCAAAGGTTGGACCTTGGGTGTTGGACACTTTTAAAATTGAGTTAGGGACTTTAGAGATGAGGCCAGAAACTGTTGGACAGATACTGGTTAATTGATTACAAAAAAGTTGGACTTTATCGGTTAGACCGTTAACTGAAATTTGTCAAAATTGGTTAGGCGCTAAAGCTGACAGATCTGACAGTAGTTGTAAATATAAGACGTCTTTGTAATATAAAAAGATCTGTGTGAAAGGAGTCTGAGGCAATGCTGTTGCTATTTTTAGACGGTGTGTGTGTGAGTGAAAATGCAAATGAGTAAGCAGTGAACTGTTTAAACCACAGTTGGTTTTACAAATACTGCTGTAAACATTGTTGAGTGTGTGTTTCAAGTGCCATTTATGTTTATTAGAGGACTATAAATAAAGTTTTGAGTTGCCGTAGTGGATGTATAGTAATTGACTGAGTTTGGATGTAGATATATAACTATATTGAGTGCACTGTATATACTTAAGACTAACACATCACTTTCAGTAGTAACTTTTCTCCAGCATTAGTTGCTGGTGGGTTTTATTTTTTCAATTTCTTGTGTGTGCGGTGAGAATTAATGGAGGTTTTAATTTTTGTTTGTTTGTTTTTTACTTGCTCTTTTTGATTATGACAAGCATGTCTAAAATACTCTTAGGAAAATGTTTTGAGTTATATTCCTCAACTCTGGTCACACTTTAAGTGTGTGAATGCGGTGACTAGAAGCTTTGACATGATGAATAAAGGTGTGAGAGGTATTTCTTTGGTGATGTAAAGTAGGAGGTTTTAAAGTTTGAAAGTGTTTTTAATTTGAGAGAGGCATGAGTGATGTTATAAGAGTTTGAGTTTCTTTTTCTTTCAGTTTAAAACACATAAGTACATACACTTGGTACACCTGTTTACTCTTTGACTTTATTAAAACAGACGGTGTATTTGAGTTTGAATTTCAGTAATTGTATGTTGATATGGTAATTTAGTTTTATGTTAGGTGAAGGAGATGTCCATCTCTGCGTCTTGCAGGATCGAAAGTGAAAGTTGAAGGTTGTGATGTAAATGCTGTGAGTACTCGATTTGAATGATTCTGTGTGAGGTGTACAAAATACTAAATAATAATAACACTATGAAAGTTGATAGTAGAGTGAGTGCAAGGTGATGTGTGAACAGAGGAAGTCTGAGAGAGAAGTGTGTGCGTAGGCAAAATGCAGAGTGTGTGCGTGAAATAAGGGAGTATTGTTTTTACATCAAGGTTTAGTAGAACTAAAGTAGAACGTTACAAACAAACAAAAGAAGGAGTCAGAAGTGAGATAGTTTAAGATAAGATGCAATGAAGGGAGCAGCTTTCACTCCTCTAATTCCCAGAGCCAGTGTGTTCCCTCCCCTGCCCACTTGGGCCCCGTATCAGGCGAGTATGGAAGGCTGGATAGCCCATGACGGGTAAGATCCCACCTCGAAACCCTGGGACAACCTAAGGCAGGCACAGTCACGATTATTCGCCTCACTTAGTCCCGGTGAGCTCCGACTCACTGGTGAGATGAAGTGAAGAGGATGGGACCTCAAGGGGTAAAGCCGCTGGGCTAAGGTGGAGGTGGAAAGTGGCAAGTGGAGCCCTACCTTCTGGCTGAGGACAAGGAATGCTGCTATTTAAGGTAGGAAATCAGAAGTTGGGTTAGTAAATTTGGGGAGGAGAAAATTGACTGTTTAAAGGCAAAATTATGAAGGAGTCTGACACACTGCAAAAGCAACATACGCAAATTCACATACACAAGCAGAAAATGCATTAAACTTATAAAGACAAGACAAGCTCATGGAGTTTAATGCAGAGATACAGATTAAACCTGGCTAAGAACACAAACATATGCAATGAAGAACAGCTTGCTATTTTGTATGAATGATACAATGGTGTGAATGTTTAATAAAATACATTTGTGTTTGTAATTGAGGAATAGAAGAAGCCATATGACAAAGGGGGTTATGTTTTATGCTGAATTGAAGTATGTTACAGAGCATAAGGGGGTGATTTTTGTGTGCAAATTGTGTGGTTTTAATGAGACTTTCGGTGTATTGAGGAGGTGAAATTATGTGGTGGCAAAACTTGTGTGTTTAAGGTTGTTGTGGTGATGGGTTGATTTTGTCAGTTAGGTTTGGGTTGGTGTTTTTGTTTTTAATAGAGGGAGTTTTAGGAAACATGGACATGTCTAAAAATTGGGCCCATTATTTTGTAACAGTGCACTTAAAGAAAACCTGTCAGGTGATTTTGTTTTGTTTTTCTGAGCTAACAATCAGCTCTATTTTTCCATTTCTGTTTTAAGCAGGCCTGCAACAGTGAATAACGGCGCTGAAAATTATCGGGAAGAGCAAATACAAGGGGGGCTTTCCAGATTACAATTGGCTGAGGAGAGCTACCTGTGGGGACTGATCAAGGTCGTAAGTCCCTGTAGAAAGGATTTTATGCGAGTCAATCCAGTCCAAAAGCATAAAGAAATATTTTCCTATGGAAAATAAAAAATGACTGAGCTCATTTTGCTGAGGGTGGAGTATCTGATCGTGCGGGAAGCTCCACTATCAGCAAATACATGGTGTGACTGGATGTGAGTGAATGTGTGACTGCATGTGAGTGAGGATGAATAAATGTGGACAAACATTTTGTTTTTACCAGAAGAAAATTTCTGTTTTGTTTTATTAGGTGGGGTTAGGTTATGGGATTATAGTATATTGTTGGGAGAATGCCAAATGCTAAAGGGGAAATATTTTTTGATGTAACTCAGTTACCATTAATTGAAGAAACACATGACTGATAACTGTTTTGTTTTAAGTTTATTTTATGACATACATTGGATCATGAGTGGGGAAACTGAGCATTTTTAAGTTTTGTATAGTATCTTGACACATGAAATGTATCAAGATAAAGGGGGGTTTAGGGTGTATTAATTTAATTGTTTAATAATTTAGGATCATGTTAGGACTTTTGGGGTTTTTGATCATTTGGATATGGTAAAACTGAAACTGTTATTTTTATGTTAAGGTTAAAGGATTAAAGTGAACTGAATCCTGTTTAGAAGATACAATGCCGGTTTTTCAAAGCTGTGAATAAATCTTAGAGGGAAATTGTGGGACACGTTGACAAAAGATATCCTTTGGGGAAAATTAGTGAAGGTTCTAGGAGTAGAACAGCTTTGATTTCTTTTTGATTTCTAGAAGTAGTGGTTATAATGTAGGCTTACACATATAGATATTACATAGGAGGTATTTTTAGGATAAAGGGGGAGCTTATAAATAGAAATGATTTTTATACATATTGCATTTTGTGCTTTTAAAGGAGTTGTGGCTCAAATTTGTCTCTGGAGGGTCACGAGCCTTTGGCTAGCGCTATGATTAGCCAATCTACTGTGAGGATAATATGAGTTCATGAAGGATTGCACACGCTTACAGACACAGAGTTAAGAAACACACA